CTGAGATATTTCCTCCATTGCTTGCAGAAACGTCCACTACACTCTGTGCAAAGCTTACGTCAAAACGGGCTGCACACAATTCTACACTGAGTACATGGCAGGAACCAGCATTCCAATTTCTTCATAAGCCTACAAGGTATTAAATTGTTTTTTCCACCAATTTGACCCCATTTTTTGTTTAACTCCAAGAAATAACAGCTTTTTTGTAATTCCGACCCGATGTTTGCAGCAAGGATAGCTTCGCTGCTCTATTCGATCCAAGCCTTGATTTCTCCCCTCTCTCCAAAATGACTGATTTGGATCAATTAAATGGTTGAAGAAATTTTTTTCCAAAGTAACCAACAAAATCTCGAGTGTCCTATATTCCGTCAGCGCCAAGTCTGAGAACTTCTATTCCACCATTAAAGTGCCCTCGCATTTTAATCCATGTTACGACCTTACTCTTTCTAAAAACCTACCTGTTTGAATGCCACCTAATTTCCCACCTTACTTTGGTTTCCAATTGGTTTCTGTGAAGCGCTTGACAACATTTTCCTAAGATATTTGTAAAGAAAAAATAATGCCGAGTTGGCCTTCAGTGGCGAGTGTCTCACACTGCTCCTACCCAGATGATCCAGTTTAGGTTTTTAAAAATAATAATAATTTGTGCACTCAATCCACAGCTGTTTGTGGGATGCCGCTGTGCGTAGATAGCTGCCGAGTTTCACTCACAAAATACACAGTCAATTCAATTTGTAGTCTGGTCTGCGAAGCGCTTTGAGACGTCTCAAAGGCAATCTGTATCAAATGCAAGGATTATTATTCTAGTTGATAGATTCTGAGCTGTCTCCTGGTACAGATTAGCTTACTGACATGTAACCTTCTGTCCCTGACACATCACTTCTATTCTTCCATCACTTTCGCACCTCACCTGCGTTTGATTTTCTAACCAGGCAACCAAGTTATCAATTAGCAGCAAACGCACTCTAAAGCGTTGCAACGCACGTGTCAAATGGGTGACTGAAAACGAAACTGGAGCACAGTTTAGATTGTGAATGGTGTGCATGGAAAATCCCTGTTGCAGGATAAAGTGCTAGCCCAACAAAACAAACACATTAAGAAGAAGTTAAAATATTAAACGCGCTGACTGGGAGGAAGCGAGAGGGTCATTAACAGCTGACAAGATTGTGAAATGCTGGTTAGGGTACTGAAGGATTTCACACATAAGTCGCAGGCAGGAGAAGCAGTAATAACAAGGTGGAAAATTGTCGTACAACTCTGTAAGAAAATGTGTATGTTATAGTTAATGTTCAGGAGTGGAGTGGAAGAGCACCCAGGTATCACACCGCTAAAATTAGTGTCAAAGACAATTAATTTTACAATAGGTTCTGTGAAGCGCTTTGAGATGTCTCCACAAAGAGATAAAGCACTACATTGAATGCAAGTATTATTATTATTATTAAGTTCGCATTGGGCGTAGTTAGAGCAGCGCAGAAGGGACAGAAGGGACAGAGATAGAGGAGGCAGAGTGAGAATTGTATGCAAGTCACAGGAATGTCAGCATCGCGTTTACAGAGCATGATTATGACTCATTAAGCAGTCAGTTACACGAGTCTTATGCAGTGGCCTCCACCACTGCTTTCTGGTAACTCGTCCCAGCTGTTGATATACCTGCTAAGAAATGTTTCCTCTGCTTTTGACTTGAAAATGACTGACAGTCTCCTTATGTTGCAAATAACTAAGTGACTACGGTACTCCAGGTGCAGCCTTACCAAAGCACTGCGGTCTTGAGTCCGACTTACTTATAGAGCCTTGAAAGATTGGCTCTGCAACCCAGCATTCCTCGTGCATTACCCAATCCAAATGTGTGGAAGAGGTCTTGAAAATCCACACCAAAACCAATTCGGACTGTGTGTGTGGGTCATGAAAGAATCAATTGCTGTAACAACATATCCAGGACAGAATGTCCACCCTGCCTTACAATGGCATTAATTGTAACTGCCTGGCATAAGCATAAACAGCTGAGTCTGCATCTGAATAGAGGACTCGGACAGGATAGATCAATATTCTCTACACAAATCGGGTTTCACAGTTTCCGCAGTTGAGCACAGTGAATGGAACAGTGTTGTTTTAATCCAGCTAGCTGTCCATGAAATAAATCTGCTCATCAGACGGCTAGAAGCAGGGAGATTATTGAAGGTAGTTATGGTTGACGCTACTCGAGACTGAGATCCTGCTAGTCAGCAGAGAACTCGTGGAGATGAATAACGCAGTGATACCTCAATACATTAGACCGTCTGATGATTTCGAATTCAAGATCCTCATCCTCACTTACAAGGCCATTCACGGCCTCGCTCCCTCCTACCTCTCCGACCTACTATCCCCCTACCCACCTGCCCGTACCCTCCGTTCCTCTGGCTCTGGTCTGCTCCACATCCCCCGCCCCAACCGCCCTACCATCGGTGGCCGGGCCTTCAGCCTCTCAGCCCTGAGGCTCTGGAACTCTATCCCCCAGTGCCTTCGCCTTCGTCCCCTCCCTTTCCTCCTTCAAGGCCGGTCTCAAGACCTTTCTCTTTGACCGTACCTTCAGCTCCCGTCTTGACTCTCTACCCCCTCCTCACTCCTTCCCTTCCCTCCCCTCACCATTTTCCCCTTCCTCGCTCCCTCCCTTCCCTCCCCTCACCCTGACCATTTCCCCCTGCTCGGGTCCTGACCCAACTGTACAGCGCCTTGGGACGTCCTCCCGACGTGAAAGGCGCTCTATAAATGGAATCTTGTTGTTGTCTGATTTCACTCTCCAGAGATAGGAGACCCTTGAGATCCCATCTCACTAAGGTTCAAACGGTTCACGATTAAAATACGAGGGTTTCTATGAGAAACTGTTAAAACAGTCTAAACCTCGGTCTTCTCTGCAAACCATGTGATGCTTATCTTACCCATTACTTTTCTAAGGGCCAATTGTATGTCACCTGGAAAAAGGCATCATCACCTCTTTGCGTATGGGTGTTTGCAAGTTTCACTAATTCTACCGAGATCACATCAAATAACTCTGCGGTTATTTGTGTGATTCCGATTGCAACGGAAATGGATTAACTATATTGATCCGATCAAGACCCAGCTTGGTTTAATTCTAACAGTAAATTAATCTTTTGAGTGTCAGGATATCCCTTCAATTACACTCTCCTCGCGAGGCATTTGTTTTCAGGATTAAGACACCAAATCAAACTGTTGTAATTAACATCAAAACAAGGTCGTTAAAAATAGATGGCGTGAGAAATTGATAAGTAGCACGGGTGCTTTGCTGAGGATGAGGCACATTGTGGTGGGTATAGTATTCTGCGAAGCGCTTTGAGACGTCTCGAAGGCGTGATAAGGGGTAAGTCGTGAAAAGATCTCGAAGATGTGATATCTTAAATGCAAGGATCATTATTATGATGATGGTGGTAGGCATGTACAGGACTAATGTAATGGAACAGTCTTCCTCTTCAAAAAATCCACCCCTGTATATCTGCTTCAGCCATCTAATAATAAGGTAAACACCGGAAACAGGATTGATCTTGAAACGAAACTGAAGCAATGTCATTCACAAAAAAACTTCCAAAATAAATCAGACTTTGCCCCACAATTTAATGCAATCTTCAATTGAGACAAAAGAGGTCTTGCAAGCTTTCACCTGCAAAATAGTCACAATAGGATATTAGGGTAACAGGATATATATCTTGTGAAGTATATCCTGTGTATACATATATCACGTGAAGCACTTTGAGATGCATCGACATGAAAGGTCATATATCAAATGTAAGGATTATTATTATTATGATCCCAAAGTTTAAAAAAAAATGGGGGATTTTTAAATTAATATGAAATTTTTTTAAATGTAAGCAATTTATATTATTAAATCGCTGAATGCAAGCAACGGGAAAGGTCAACAGACTGCACGGACAAAATGGTGAATGTTTCGAATGTCCGGAGAGGGTGGGTGGGTGGGTGGGTGGGTGGGTGATGGGGGGGCTGTGATTTTCCTCTGTGGGATGACAACAATCCCCTATTTGTACTTGAGGGTCGCACAAACGTTGCAGACCCTGAACCGCTCATGTCCGAGGCGATGCAGCACAACACGTCACGTTCACGCATCATATAAGCATTCCCCCTCCATTTTGTTTCCTGTAAACGACCAGTGCCCAGTTTCTTTCTGTGGTGCTGTCCCGAGTGAAGGTCACCATTAATAAATTCAAGTTGTTTTGCATATAAACCCTACCCCAGCCCAAAAGGTCCGGGCGCCAAAAGTGCCCCCCCGCTGAACGTTCGCACTGGTCTCGGTAAAGTCTGTGTTATTTTGTTTGCAGTAGCTGTTAAGTAGCGCAATTTACGTGTGACCAAACATTAAGAAATATTCAATCAAGAAAAGGTTGGCTACTATTGGTATATGGCATTATTATTATTATATTGCTGTGCGCAATTGGCTGCCGCCTTTCGCCCACAAAATAAGAGTCAAATTCACTCTACAGTATAGTCTGCGAAGCGCGTTGAGGCGTCTTGAAGACGCGATTAGGCGCCTTATCAAACGTGAGGATTATTACTCTCAACCTTTGGAGCTTTTCCATTCGAAACGTTAAAAAAAAGATGGCCTTATTGTAAAAACACAATTGCCCCCTCAACCCCTTGCTTGTTCCAATATATCTGATATAGCAGAACATCTACAGTATCCATCAGTGTGTTCTTTGTCTTCTGCAGAGGAGTCTATATGCTGTATCCTGTCCGCTCCCTCCGCTCAGCAGACTCTGCCCCGCTCCAACAGCAACTGACGTTCACCCTATGGAACTCCATCCCACATTCCCTTCGCCTCGCTGCCTCCCTTCAAGGCGCGACTCAAAACCCTCTTCAAACGAGCTTTCGGCAACACTCCTACCCCTCCACTCTCCCTGATCCCCAGTGAAAGGCGCCGTACACGTGTAATTTGTATTGTAACCATAAATTGTATTAATTATTTATATGATTTAGAAATGATATTAAACAGTCGGTCGAGTAAAACAAGTTTTTATTCTGAATTTTAGCCCAACTGAGGCAATGCAACAAAAAACAATTTACTTGGACGCTTACAAATGAACATGTTCGTTTAACAGTAAAAGGAGAATTTAAGAGCAGACCAGCCAGGTCCAGATGCTGCAACACAGAACAGAATCAAGAAATATTCAATCAAGAAAAATTGATTTGGTTGGCCGACCAAAAAGGTTGGCCCCCACTGGTATAAAACGTAATCATTATTCTGTTTCGCCACTGGTATAACAGAATAATGGTTGCATTTTATTTTCGTTACTCTTTGCTTCTTCCATATCAAGTGCCTCCTGACGAACACCAGCTTCTGTTTGTTGCTCAGAATTTTCGAGAGTGTCCACCTTCAATTTCTTACACCCGGGCTCCTCCACTGGAAGCAAGTGTGCGTTAGCGTGAACACTTTTGGCTATTTCGTCAATTGTCCATTTCTCCTCTGGAAGCGCATGTTCTTCCAATGTAAAAGGACCCTGTTTGGTTCTCTCCAACTCCTTCACGTGAGCGCAGGACGACAGTTCTAACGTAAATAGAAATTCGAGTTAATGTACGACCTTGTATTTCATTCAAGTAGCTAGGCGGGGGCAGGGGCGGGGGGGGGAGAAGGGATTAAAAAAAAAAGTTCTGCTTTTTGTCCCCTTACCTTTACCAAGATCACTGACCAAACTTCGGACATAGAAGCCACCTCCGCATTCAATTTCTGAAAGATAAACATTGCACTTCAACCAGACAATTTCGAGGCTTTAAAAACAGAAAAGAGAATTCAATCTGTGCACATTGATCGAGTCGGATAGTGAGGTAAAGTTAAACGTTCACTTATCAGCTGCACAAAAAATATCTGACAAGACAAATACCACAACCACCTATAAATTTGTACAGACTTAAAACGCCAAGGATAGCACTGTAGCTGCTTAGTGGGATATCGCTCTCCCTTTCCTGTGATGGAAATGATGGCAAGGTGCAGTGCAAAAAATGATAATAATCTTTGCATTTGATACAGCGCCTTAGCACGTCTTCGAGACGTCTCAAAGCCCCTCACAGAATATACTGTAAAGTGAATTGACTGTATATTTTGTGGGAGAAACGCAGCAGCCAACTGTGCACAGAAGTGTCCGCACAAACAGTCGTGGATTGAGTGACCAATTTGTTATTATTTTTTAAAAAGGGATTATTACCCCCAGAAAAGCAATCTGCCCAATCGACTAACAACCAGGGTCCTACTTACTGCTGGATAAACAGAGACGTGTGGAGTAAGGAAACTTGCCCAATGTTTCAACCCCTCTCCGGGAGGGGTTGCGAGGCGAGTGCTCTAACCACTGAGCTACAGGACTATATTAATAAATAAAACTGAAAACCAAGGACAAATCCCGCAATTTTATTTCACGCTAATTCAACTCAACACTGACATCTTAAGAAATGAATTTGTCACAGTGGGTTTCAAGAACATTCTACAACTGACATACAAGATGGAATATCACCTCGTTCCAGACAAAATGCACTCAAAGACAAGCTTCAGGTTTCATTTGCATCATGTTCTGATCTGCCGTTATTTTGCCAATGCTGTAGCCAACAATTATTATTGAGTTAAAATTAATACGGCAATTTCGTCCCAACACAAAAATGACACATTAATATTCATAGAGATGTCTACTTGGTGAATTATTTATGAGTTAGTCTGTGTGCAGTCAGAATTTAAATTAGGTTAGGTGTGCGATATGCAGTTCGGCACTGAATCTTTTGTTGATATTGGAAGAGAGAGAAAGAAAGCACTGTGAATATAGTGTATTCTCAATAAGAGTTCATTATCAATCTACATATAGCCACCAAATCTTTTCTTTTTTGTACTGAAATATTGCCTTACCTGCCTTACCGATCAAAAAAAAAAACGAACATAAAGCAACGTCACAGACCAAAAGGACTGCACGGAAATGACAACGGACCAGGTCCATTTTAAAATGCAACACTTATAACATGCTGCATAAATCTTCATTGAAACAAGCCAGGTATTTTAGAAGAAGACATCAATTTCTGGTTTCCTTGATCTTTTCTTTCTCTCATCACAGTGCTTAAATTCAAAAACAAAGCTCAGAGGAACACAGTTGGTGGCACTCTTGCCTCTGAGTCAGAACAGTGTGGATTCAAAGCCCCATGTTGGGACTTTGAACTCATCTCATCGAGGCTGATTCTCCAGTGCAGTTTTGTGTGTGTAGTGGGGTGTGGGGGGGGGGGGGGAGATGCTACATTGTCAGAGGTGTAAGCCTTCAGATGAGACATTACACCAAGGTTCTGTCTGTCTGTTCAGGGGGACATGATACCATCTAACAAAAAAGGGGGTTTCTCCCGGTGTCCAAGCCAACAATCTGTCAGATAAAAATTGGTCAATCACTTCATGGTTGTTTGTGGGACATCACGGTGTGCAAATTGGCTATGTGGCTCGCCTACAAAACATCCACTACACTATTGTGGAGGCGATGTGAAAGGCATTAAATTAAATGCATTAATTATTATTATTACCATCACAACAGCAATTTGCAGAAAAGCACTCCACAATCCATTTGTTTCTTAACAGTCAGAAATCGGTTCTGAGTCACAAACTATGCAGGCAGTCAATTTGCAAGTTATTTGTCTCACAGAACCCATTAAGAACGGATTATATCTACTTTATTTGTGATGTCACTTGTTCAACTCAAATATTCCAGCAAGAAGTTCCTGGAAGTCAATTTCACAGGGACCAGTTGGTGTGAAACGTTGCATATAAATCTTCAAAGATTTGGCAAAACTCTTCATTTGCTTTTGAACCCACAATGTAACGGCACAAATTACACTGAAATGGAGCATTTACACCACTTATGTGCTGTGTGCTGGTTTCTCAAGGCAACATAAATGCTTGGCAAAGCCTGTTACAAGACAACAGTGGCTCTGTTACGGGAGAAAGAATGTCTGGTGTGAGGACTGTTCAAAAGTAACAAGATTAATATCATCAATATACAATATTTTGCTTCTCGCGAGGAATGTTACTGTTCGGTGCAGCATTAAGACACAGCTTCTCAATATCTGGGCCTATATTATGATTATGGGAAGAAGCCAGGCATATCCTGGAGTGGCTCAGTTCAATGGGACTGACTGGGATCTTGGGACCACCCTGGAAGCTGATTTGTAGCTCCTCAAACTCAGGAGAGCCCGGTGCTGGCTAAAAATCATTATGTGCTTATAATATATTTTCCCATGTTCAGACAGAACAGCATCGACTCCAGTCCCGAGTAAACGAAGTATAAATGCTTTGTCGTAGGGCACCTATTGATGGCAGATCAGGTAACGGCTTTAAATACCCTGGCCAACATGCATCGTTGGCGGAGGGGGGGGATCACAAAATAATAATCTTAATCCTTGCATTTGATATAGAGCCCTATCATGTCGCCGAGATGCCTCAAAGCGCTTTACAGGATTTCACTGAAGGCAAATACAGCAGCCAATTTGCACAAAACAATGTTCCACAAACAGCCATCAATTGAACGTCCAATTTTATCTGAGGGAACTGTTGGCCAAGACACTGGGACAATCGCCCTTCTCTTTTCGAGCAGTGCTTTGGTATTTTTAAGGTCCACCTTAAGAAGCAAGGGTGCCCCACTCATTCCATGGTTTACATTCCAGGGATAGAGGAAAACTATCCATGGAATGTAATAATAATAATCCTTGCATTTGATATAGCGCCTTATCACGTCATTGAGACATCTCAATACAACAACAATTTGCTTTTATATAGAGCTCCTCGCGACAGACAGCGAATATCCTCCTCTCACTGAGCGTACACCGCAGCTTATTGAGGTGGTTCCAATGTGTTTCCCTTACCGAGAGTGAAGAGAGGAGGGCTGAAGTCCTGTACAGAGAGGCTGTGAACCACCACAGGTCTGGCAGGTCTCGCCTCCACTGCTTCGCCTTTCCTCGCCAAACACGACAGCCGCTGCCCACCTTTTTTCAGAGCGGAATACCTAGAGGCACGAAATAAATGCAAGAAAAAAATAAAGACTTTTTAATCAAAAGAAAGGAACACAGCTTCACATTCAAATAATACTTCTGGCATTTTCATAAAATATAATAATCCTTGCATTTGATACAGCGCCTTATCACGGCTTCGAGACGTCTCAAAGCGCTTCACAGAGTATACTGTAAAGTGAATTGACTGTATATTTTGTGGGTGAAACCCGGCAGTCAATTGTGCACAAACACTGAAGGACAGTGGCTTGAAGTGACAAAATCATTGTTATTTTTTTTGAAGAAATTATTACCCCAGGAAAAGCAATCTGCCAATCGACCAGCAAACGGGTTCCTACTTACTGATGGGTAAACAGTGGCGTTTGAAGTAAAAAANTTGCCCAACGTTTCGCCCTGCCGGGAATCAAACCCAGGTCTCTCGCTTGCGAGGCGAGTGCACTAAACGCTGAGCTACATGGCACCTTATCACATCATTGAAACACCTCAAGATGCAACACCTCGGCACTTTTACTGCAAGCATTATCTGTGCAGTTAGAGGATGACCTTGGCAGCTAATCTGCACACAAGCAGTCGTGGAGAGAATGATTAGTTTTATGGGAGGGGGAAACCAATTTCTTAAAGGTTTGAGAAAATGTTAATTAATGAGTTAGCATCAAAAAAGTTTTTCCCAATAATGTTTTTTTCAGGATCCTTTTAGTCAATCTGTTGTTCTGTAACTCCAGCTTCTTGCAAAAGGAATGCTTCTCCCACAAGGAACACGGTCACCAGGGGACCACATCGGAATGTGTACCACTCATAGAGAAGCAAATCAAACTATCGATTTTTGGCACTGCATAGAAATGCCAGGGCTAGGAGGAGAGAGGCTGCAAAACAATTAATTTTTCTTCTGGCCTCTTATTTGCAGTGGGTAATTCCCATGAGATCGCATCCCATGTAAGAATAATATTTGTGTTGGCAGAAACGCTTCTGGCATACAATGATCCTCTCCTGATACTGTGTTAGTGTGAAGCAGCATTCTCCAGACAGTAAAAATCCAATCCTCTCTGCCCTCATCTACTCCTCTTTCTGCTACCCCACTTACACTTTTTCTTCTGGTGGGTGAATCCAGAACAAGGAGGTACAATCTTAAAATTAGAGCCAGGCCATTTAGGAGTGAAATCAGGAGGCAGGTTTTCACCCAAAGGATAGTAGAAATCTGGAACTCTCTCCCCAAAAAGTTTGTGGATGTTGGATCCATTCAAGTTTTCAAGACTGAGGTGGATAGATATTTGTTAGGTCAGGGTATCAAGGGTACGGGAAAGGGCAGGTAATTGGACTTGAGGTACTGATCAGCCATGATTTTATAGAACAGCGGAGCAAGCTCAAGGGGCTGAATAGCCTACTCCTGCTTCTATGTTTCTACACACAAACACTTCTTTCCACACTCGCAAAGATGCAGAAATACCAAACTTACAGGGGAGGAGCCTGCATTATATTTCCCTTGAATTTCTCCAGAGCATTTTCCAGATCTTCCTTCGTTATGTGATCTGATTAATGAGAAAGAAATACAATGTCAAATCAAACTGATGCTCTTAGAAAACGCCCCCCCCAAAAAAAATCACTCAAATCATGATCGACTGGTTATATTCAACACAGTGGAAACAGCAGAGTCACTTTTGCAAAAAAAAGGCTTGGGGGGAGGGAGGCAGAAACAGTACTAAATGCCGTGATTGTCGAAGAAGAGAACAAAGTGTTTCGATGGCTGCGCATCAAATGTCTTTTCTCCTAGAATCATACAACCCAAATACAGTACAGAACTCAGCCATTCAGTCAGTCATACACATATCGGTCTTCACTTCCTCCCTGGCCGATAAGTCAACGTACTTTTTAACTTCATTTCCCCGCTCTTTCCCCACATCCTCACTTAGTTTTCCCCTTCTCGAGGGCTCACCCAATTCTCTCTTAAAGGCTGTCATTGGGCTCAGCTTCAACAATGATTTGCATCCAGGCACTTCACATTCTGACAACCCTCTGTAATAAACAGATTACTTTAACTACTTCACCCTCTCCTCCACCTTACGTCGTCAAAGTTTATCGTAAGCGTGCATGCCCCTTTGAAGTCCCGTTTCATTTAAATATCTTATTAAATGACTTTGGTGATGGGTGGTGGGATGGGTTAGGAACACTCTTGTAGTGCCTCTAGTACTTTGGTTTTGTTGTGCCTCTAGTCCAACCTGCCAGTATTAAAATTTTTGTTTTGTCAGCTGTAAGTAGTGACTTATGTGGCACATTTAGAAGTGAATTTAAGATTTCTCCACAATTATGCGCCACCTTAAATTTGAAGTGAAAATGGTCTTCGCCTGCACTCAGGCTCACTCATCTCCCTCACTTGGGTGTCTGACCCCATCCTCGCAAAGCGCTCTGAGGCTTTATCCTACATGAAGGGGGCTATATTAAATGCAAAGCTGTGCTGTTGTCTTACAGACTAAGACAGAAGTGAAATGTCATGCCTTTTGTTGGGGAGCAGTGGCAGTGCCCATCCAAATCTGAAGTCGGAGACAATTGTCCCTGTTGACATGCTAACCTCAGCTTCGCAATAAAACCTGAATGCAACCCAGATCTCCCCAATGAGACATTCAAAAACACTGGTGAAACTGTCAATATTTTCTTCCTCTGCCTCCCCCACCCCTCCTTGGTAATGTTAGAAAGCACTCTTGATACACAATTCGTCACCGAATTTAATTGGAAAAAAGCAACTTGTGCTACATGATATAATTAGGGAGCTTTAAAGGCCCACAGCTTATGAAACAGATTTGACTTCAGTGATTGAATAACTTCAGAGCCCAGTTATTAAACAAAGAATCGTTTCTTTAATCAATGTTACTCCTGAAATATGCCTGTTATTATTCACCAACGTCACTTTAATATTCAATAAAACACACCACTCGGGTAATGAAGTTTCGCGGACGGCTGCTGTGGAACACGATTAGCCAAATAAACTGAATTGTTCCAGTCTTCTTACCATATGGTTTTTCTTCAGTCACCTTGCCTATAGTGTCCAGCGTGTCTGTGGCCTTTCCAAATTCTCCAACAGTTGTATATTTCTGAAAATATATTCAACAGACGATTACCACAAGGCTGCATGATCCAGGTCAGGCTGATCTAATCAGAAACATTGAAATAATAAAATAATCCTTGCAATGGATATGTTCTTATGATGTAGCACCTTATCAAGTCCATCGAGACGTCTCAAGGCACTTCACAGGATATATTGTAAATTGGTGCAACTGTGTATTTTGTGGGCAAATAACATTTTGATAGCAACTTTTCACCTGGGAAACTGCAAGTTTTATTTTTTTAAAAAATGTTTTATTTTATTTACATTTATTAATACATTTATTATCAATAGAATAACAAAAATAATATTTGATGTGTGTGCGTGGGGATTTTTATAGTATGAAGCAGGCAATGCTTAGCTGCTCTGCACCATAATCTCCCAAGGCACAGGACAATAAAATTTGAATGAGCACATAGCTGGTAGCTACCCACAATACTGGCGGCTGACATTTTTGAAACGGGAATGACAACAAGCCATTGAGTGGAAACCAACCAGTCTCAGGATTCAATCACATAAAACGGCAATCAAAGTCTGTCTGGCCAGAAGGCTTTGGAATGATAAGAGTGCAAAAGAAATCCTGCATTTTGCAGATCAAATTACAGCCCATTTTTATCCCACTAATCTTTACCTTGCCTCATAATTCACCAGAGCAAAATTAAAGAGTCTCTTGAACTCAGAACATAACCCCTACAATTACTAGAGGTTTGAAGAACTGTGTCTAGATAGTTATCAAAAGCATCCCATTTATCTCTTTCACTGCTCTTTATTGTTAATGGATTCTGGCAGAAATAACCATGAATTTACCAAGATCTGCCCCAGACTGTGGAAGTTCATGTGAAAGAAAACACAACACTGAGCAACAGCCTGAATTGCACACTTGTGCCATCAGTCGCATGCTTTGTCGTCGTCGCAGATCGAGACATTTCTGACATCCCAGTTTACATGAACTTCAGCAACCCTTCAAAAAAATAATAAAGTAATAATCTGTTCAAAAAATGTCTTTAAAAATATTAATTTGGTCACTCAATTTGGTTCGTGGGACACTGCTGCTGTCGCGTTTTGCCCACAAAATATACAGTATAATCTGTGAAGTGCTTTGAGACATCTTGAAGACGTGATAAGGCGCCATGTCAAATGCAAGGATTATTATCTTCAAATCTCTTCAGTCTCAGCGACCAAGGGCCGAACTGCACGAGGCATGCGTCCTTGGTTTGGTTGGCAAATACAGTTTTAAAAATTGCACAATGATTTGAACAGGCTTCGAAATGCGCTAACACGGGTCCCTTGATCTCTGTTCCTTCCAGACACTTTGCCCCTTTTTTAAAATATAAAAAGTAAATGTTTTCTCTACTATGCAAAAGTTTTTCAGATTTTTTTCAGAAGAGGGCAAGAGAGAGCTGTTCTTACATAGCCGGTATCGCATTGTAACTGGCCTCAAGGTTATACCAAATGTTCCCGTGGCCCATCTGGTCGCCAATCACAATGGGTCTATTCTACAAAAGGTTACCGCTCAACTGCCAAGACAAACGAAGCTTTGTGAAATCCTCATTGAAACGCAGAGCTAATGAAGCACAAATTCCAATACATTAACCCAATTCCCCTCCCCCCACCAAAGCATGCTGTTCAACTCGGACTCGTTTAATCCCACAAGTCATTTACTTTAGTTATTGCCTCAGCAGAAAAGGACATTGTGTGCTCTGCAATCATTTACACAGGTTGCTGCCGCGTGGAAACAAGCCATTCAGTTCAAACCAGTCCACGTTGGTGTTCATCCTCCATGTGAAGCTCTACCCACTCCTTATCTCCCCCATATCCTTCTATTCCCTTTGCCCCTGTGTGTATATCAAGCTTCCTCTGGAATGCATCTGTACTAACTGCTTCAACCACCGCTTCGAGCAGCGAGTTCCACATTCTCATGAGCCGCTATGTGAAGAAGCTCCTCCTAAATTATCTTGTATGTTCCCTAATTGCTACCTTATACTTGTGTTTCACAGTTACTGACTCCCCAACAAGGGGGAAATAGCCTATTTATGTATTTGACCATCCTAACTACCATTCTTCTGGTTCTAAACCAGGATTTTTAATCCAGCTCTTCCTCTTTGGTGTTAATCAATGTAGCATAAACTGTTTTTCCTGTGACATCACTCTATACAGCCATTACCTTCACTTACGAAAAACAGTCCAGTCTCGGAACCTCAATCAATTTGTTAACTACCTTCCAGTTCAGCAAATAAATTTGTTTCTCATACATATTCAGTCAGTCATTATGTTTAAAGTGTAAGTACCAAATATATTAAAATGAAGCTTAATAAGGATTCAAAATTAACATTCCCCAAACTTATACGCAATTACTTCCCAGGTGACTTTGAATTAAACAGCAGAAAGGATCTTTCAAATAGGTGTCTGATACGATATTCCCGATGGTGTTGCTTTCACACACAATGTTATCAAATGCCAGTGTAAAGCTACAAAAATAAACATTAGCAGATTCAAATGGGAACAGCCTACACGATAGATTGCACCTCGCCCAAGCAATCTGCTCGACAATAAGTATGTTCAAATGGTATATATTTTTTTAAAAACAGGGCTAATAATGCAGCTTTATATTTCTGTTCAATTTAGCTGCTCAGTGATGACAAGGTACTGGTTCTGTCAGTGGGGCCTTTATTCCTTGGTAGCAGATGGATAACAGTTCTAATGTGATATTCAGTGAATTATTACACGGTTGCAAAAGCAAATCCAGTATTAAATTCCAGACAGCAGCGACATCGGGGACACATTCAAACTGTACTTTCTAGCAGTAAATTTGATACGAGGCGACGAGCAACACAGCAAGCAGCTGGAGGCAAAGGTAATGAGTGCAATGTCCTCACAAATGTGACCTTGGTGGCTGTGAGAGGCAGAGAACTGCTTGGGGAGCGTGCACTACAAGCCAGAAGTCCCCATGGCTGCATTGTGTGTCGAGGCTATTTTCTTCTCCCACGTTTGTCTGTCTTCCCAGCGACCGTCATTTATGAGACTTCCATCCACGTTAGTTGGACAGAGTTCCACAACCACCCATTCCTCCAAGCCACTTTGGCTGGTGTGTGGATGATGAAGCAGGAATGACTTCCAAAGTGCAACTGAGCCAAATTCTATCCTCTCCAACAGTCCTCTTAACTTCCCGCTGAATGATAATGGTAGTCCCTTTGGTAAGGCACCACAAGGCATTGGGATGTTATAACTGCCCCCACAAGTCTAACCAACATCTTATGTTTGGAGGCTCCCTGTTCAGTCCTTCAGGTTTTGATATCCCAAGACTCACCATCTCCTCGTTTTAGTGTTTACATCTCTTCTCGTCTCAATACTCACATCTCTTCCAGTACTCAGGCTGCCTGTCTCTCGGGATTTGGTTTCCTTTTTCATGTCAAACATTTGTTTTCTCCTGAACAGCTGTTAATTCTCTACACAGCCTGTGACATGAATACTGTTGCCATATCTGAGGAGACTTTCCTAGTAGTATTGAAATACCTGCACAAATTATTACAGCCTTCTTAGTTGGCAGGAATCCATCTCTCCTCTGGCCTTCAACCTTTCATTGTTACTTTAAAATCAATACTTTCTCCTCTAAAACTTCCTCTCTCTTTTCTCTAAATAAGGCACCCGGCACATCCAGGGTGTGCTGAAATTAAGATTCACTGCACTCACTCTCTCTTGCTAACTCATTCTTTCCCAGGGACCTTAAGGCTGGGAATAATTATCACCCAACATCTCTCTAATCCCAAAAGGTTCCTCCTTTCCAACTTGGTGCCAATTCTGCACTTTAGCCTTTGGTCATTTAGCTAGATTTCGAAAGGGAGAAAAAAAAGCATACAACACACAGCAGTAATTTAATGGACTGATATCAAATGAACCCCCACAAGATGCTATTAAAAAAAAATTAAATCATGATCTAAAAGCATTGGAAGTCAGTCAGTGAACTGAATAATGATCCAATCTGGGCCGTTCCACTTCTGAACACTAACTTCTCAAACTTCATCTTTGTGATTTATGACATGACTTGAATCTCGATTGGATTAGTGTCATGTAATTCACTGACTGCAATATAAATCCACAGATTTAGACAACCAGGTTAGAGTAATAGCCAAGTCTTAATCAACTTTACACCACTGAGCATGAAGGTTCAATTACATTTCAACAGGCTGATAGAGTTAGATAGACTCATAGGTGGCAGTGCAAAAATGCAACTCTATCTCAGATCCTGCAAATAACATACCTCTGTAGCCTCCCACTCTGTTGAAAGATTCAAGCTGGTACTGAAAACATTGCCACATAGAGATCTCAACAGGCGTTGTAAGATCCTTCGATGAACCAAAATCACCCATTTGGGGTAATTATGAGAAATTTTATCTTGCACACAATATCCAATATCTGTATCAACCGAAATATTTTTTAAAAATCCTTCTGTTTTATATATACTTCGAAGTAAAGGTTTTATGGGGATTAGGAAAAAAGGCAGTAGAATAAGATGCAAGGCGAGATCCAACAAGATGGCAGAAAAGGCTTGGTGGGCTGAATGCCTTTTCCTATTCCTATACATACTAGAACAAGTTGACCTGTAAACGATGCTCTTTTACCTTAAGAGTCAGATGACAAACCACACTGCATCTGATCTGCTCTGCACCTAATCCAAGAACTGGATATTGAGTGTGATTGCAAATTGGGAGGGACATTGAGTTTACTTGACAGTATTTTACCGTTCCCTGGGCAGATGCAATATTGATAAACAAACAGATGTTAAGAGATTGCATTTCAAGACTACACTGCAGCCAAGGGTAGATATGCAGGAACAGAAAGGGCTGTAACACGTTACATCGGGATTGTCACAATATACAACTCTAAATGCCATCACTTAGCTCTGTGAAAACAGATCCTCAAACAAGACTTTGCACCGTAATGGCTAATTAATGTGCCCCACATTTTGCATAATTGATTTGTTCAGCTGAT